CCACAGAATGGGAGGGGCTAGTTCCCAATTCACCTCAGATGTATTTGTTCCTGGAAATTCCACCACTAAATGCATTGTCAGTGGTTTTACTCTCTGCCTCGATTTTTAGGTCAGGAATTCAGAGTTTCAAGGTGCTGTGGTAACTGCTCTGTTTCCTGACTAGTTGAGGGCACCTGGGCTTTTTTCCTGTGGATGCCCCTCAGAGTCACAGGGCTACCAGCATCTCTGCCCCCTCTGGTCTTTGAGTGACAGAAGTCAGGCTTAGTACCCGGCCCTCTCATGGGGTGGATTCCCATGACCCCCCCACCTTCAGACTGGGTCGTGGGCTACAGTGCACTGTGGTTCAAATGCCCTTGCTCAGGAGCTGCAAGAACATTCATCCTCCATGGTTCTTCCCTTTGGGAGGTTGTGACTAGTGAGGCGAGTGACCACCCAGCCTTCCTCAGCCAAACACTGGTCAGTCTGAGCAGCAGGAGTGAAATGTAGCCCGGGAGAATCGGAGAGTTTTCAAGCCACAGTCTGACCACGTCTCTGACCCCAGGCTGCCATTGTGTCGAGGACCTTCGCAGCCGAAGGCCTCATCATGCCTAACTAACAGGTGCTGGGGTCACTATTTCCTGGAGAGTGAGAGCTCTGGGAAACAATGTTTCATATAGTGACCCCAGTGCCTGTTACTAGTCCCAATGCAAGCTACCGACTGACAGAACAGAACCTGAGGAGACCCAGTTTGCTACGATGCCAAAGATAGAAGAGACACTAAATTTTTGTTTGCAGACAAGCGGCAGAATGAAGATGGAGATGCTGAGACCTTTTCAGGTTCTGTAGAAATCCAGATGACAAGACCCACATTTCCAGTCCCACTCAGACCTGAGAAATCATCTCTGAGAGAAGATTGCATGGAATGGAGTGGATTGACATATGTGTCCTAAGGTATAGAGGTGTGAATGTTAATTTAAGCCAAATCTTTTCATTGTGTTATATGTATTACAGACCAAACTTTCAAGACATGCCTGTGTATGGAAAGCCAGCAGCAGAGTTGTGGGAATCTCTAAAGGAAGGAGCAGTGTTAACTTTACTGCTCCAAAGCATTCGGCTTTTAAAATATTTCGGAAGTTCCCCAAAAGAGTTGGCAATCAATCTGTACAATCAATTATTTCTTCTATCAACAGTGGCTTGATACTGGTTGCTGGTAATTGGCCAGAAGGCATAAGCTTTCACAAGGGAAAAAAAAATTCAGGTGCATCTGACAAAGTGGGGTTTTGCACACATAAGCTAAATCCTAAATAAATTTGTTAGTCTGTAAGGTACCACAAGTCTCCTCGGTGTTTTTGTGAATACATACAAACACAGCTCCGCCTCTGATACCTGACCAGAAGGTGTTTGTGACACTTACATTCTGGTTCATGAACACCGTCCTTCTACGCTGCCTGGGCCAGACGTCCCCAAAAGTCCTGAGAAAAGAACCACTCGGTTTTCTTTTAGCAAGGACTAGTGCTGAGTTGCAGAAAAAGGAAGTACAGTGGGTGTATGTAATTTACACTCGTAACCTGTCACACAATCGTGACTGAAGTTTTTTGCACATTCAGCTTGAAATTACTGTAAGCCTAGTGTTTTGTGGAAAAACTTGACAGTCTAGACACAGCCACTGTATGCCTGGTACAAACTAATAACTACCTTTATTGCAACAGGCAATATAAGTAAACACACTGACATGCTACAGGCAACGATTAGATAAAGAGTTTCAATAACCCCAGCTGGTATCATGAATACAGTCTAAATATACAGTTGCAATTACCTAACAGAACATCATATTCATACCCTCCTGAAGACATCGAGGAGTTAAAGGAGCAGCCTACTCTGTTGGTATAGCAGGGATCTCAGTGAGAGATGAGAAATTAGGATAGCATAAGAAATGGAAGACTGAGGTAATATTTTTTATAAAAGTTTAGAAAGGTAAGTAAAGAAAGGATGAGAAAGCAGATCGTGAACGTGCCTGACACTCTCAGCCGCACAGGTTTATAGGCCTACTCCCGGTCATTTCTAAGCCAACTCTCAAAGCCAAAAACAGATTTCTGCACTCTAAGGTGTTTGTGGGTGATCATGTTTGATTGAAGAATTAAATTAAAACACCTCTCTGAATATGCCTGAGCTGTCACGTTGTCTCCCCATGAGGAGGGGGTGTTTTTGACATTCAGAGAAATACCGCAAGTCACATGCTGTTCCTACCTTTCTGAGGAAAAAGGACATTTGCCCCTTCAAGAAAGGAGATATTTGGGGCGTACTGCTCTTAAACTCAGACAGGTATGACCTAACACCTGCACCTGTGAGACTGGTATTAGATGCCAGGTCTGATAATTCTATTTCAGGATATAGAAAATCGGCTTGGTGCCTTGTACATCAGCATATTGACTTTTGTGCTATTACCTATCCCAGCCCAATGAGCTAGAAAACCGACTACATATATTCTTCACCATAGATATTTATGGTTGAGCGCTATAATACCATATTTCAAGAAAGAACATCTTCTATCTACTATCCTTCTTATAATCTACTGCTGAAGTTAAGTTCTAACAGGATAAAATCTCTGTAGGCCTTGTGTGACTACTAAGCTAGAATTAAAACAGGCAAAAGTTCATAAAAAATATATTAGTTTGCAGACAAGGTTAGACTAATAGGCTACAACTGAGCACAGAAAGATGTCTTTTTAAATATCTGGTCTCCTGTTCTTTTTCTTTTCAGGAAGGAAAGCTCATAACTCCTTGGACCTGCCCAGTACAGGATGTCAACTGCCAATGACACCAAATTCCAATCTGCAGTGTTCCTTCTCACTGGGATACCTGGGCACGAAGACGCCCATCTCTGGATTTCCATCCCCTTCAGCTTAATGTATGTTATTTCGATAGTAGGAAATGCAGTCATCATATACTTTATAAAAACAGAGCCAAGCCTCCATGAGCCCATGTACATTTTCCTTTCCATGTTGGCTGTCACAGACATTGGCATATCGATAGCCACCATACCGACAATACTGGGCACATTCTTGTTTAACTATAGGGAGATCAGCCTCAACGCCTGTTTGGCCCAGGTGTTTTTCATCCACTTTCTTTCAAAAATGGAATCCTCCGTGCTCTTGTCCATGGCCTTTGACCGCTTCATTGCGATCTGTAACCCGCTGAGATATGCTTCCATTTTAACCCCACTGAGAATAGCCAAGATGGGGCTGGTGTTTGTGGTAAGAGGGGTGGCTGTAGCATTCCCACTCCCCCTTCTTCTAAAAAGGTATCAATATTGTCGAGCCAGTGTCCTGTCCCATTGCTACTGTCTAAACCAGGATGTCATGAAGTTGGCTTGTTCAGACATAAGAGCCAGCAGCGTCTATGCTGCACTACACCAGGTGGTCACGCACCTCTTGCGGCCCCGGGCAGGCTCCTGTGAGCCGCCAGCCTGGTCCTGGGAAGAGGCGGAGGGCTGGGTGGCAGCGGGTGGGCTGGCCTGCTAGGTGATGGCAGGCTTGCACCTGGCACAAGCACTGTAGCCAGACCGTGCCCCTTTAAAGGCTCTGGGGCCGGGAGGGGGGCAGAAGAGTTTCCCTGGTTTGGCCCAGAGTGGCCACCAGGGCAACCTGGGAAGGGCTAGCCTCCCACTAGTTCGAATTAAGTGGCTATATAGCCCTTAATTCAAACTACTTAATTCGAACTAGGTGTTAGTCCTCGTAGAATGAGGTTTACCTAGTTCGAATTAAGTGCACCGCTAGTTCATTTAAATTTGTACTAGCGTTTTGTATGTGTAACCCCTATTAAAGTTAATTCGAACTAACGGCTGTTGGTTCAAATTAACTTTGTAGTGTAGACATACCCTTATGAATTTGGGGCATGAGAGTGGACTGAACATTGAGAAAATTGGAAGTAAATAAAGGGAAAATTGAATCCAGTTGCATTCAGGGTAATTTTATTTATTTTGTGATCTGGTTTGAACTACTCTGTGTGAATCTTCGCCTCCCCTCCCCATTTCCTACCTTGCATTGTGCCCAGAGACTTTTCTCCATGTTTCAATTAGTTTTCCTTAGTTGCTCTGTAACATCTAGCAACCAAGTATGCTTTATCAAGTTTATTTTTTGTTTTGTAAAAAAAATCCCTTTTTTAAGGTGACAATTGGAAGTTCTGGAAGTTCTACCTGTGTGTACCTGCATGCCTCTGACTGAGGGGTCAGCTACCACAGACTGCAGCTTATTTTCTCTTTTTTTTTTTAGCTCTTTTGGGACAACAGAACTTGGGGTACTCCTAGGGGGTGGTTTCAAATGTTCACCCCTGGTTTTTTAGGGATAAAAATCATTTGATGGTGGCAACAATTCCCCAAAATCTGTGTATTTTTATTCTGGGGGGAAATTTTTGTAACCAGTGCCTGTAGAGGTAAGGTTTTGAAGCTCTCTTGTGGGCCCCCACCTTCTGGACTTGGATTACCAGAGTGGGGAACAGCCCTGACAGGAGGACAGCTCAATGCAATTACTTTTCCCCATGCCCTTGCCATACAATTGCATATCTCACAAAAGGACACACTCAGAAGTGCAGGTCCAGAAAGGGTGTCTAAGGGAAGGTGACAATTGTAAACCCACACAGTGCTCCAGTAAACTGCAGACCTAAGAGACCCAAGACAGGATGGGGGTAGAGAGCTCAGCTGGATTAACATCAGGACTGGATTGAAGGTTTTTATGGATAACCAGCCAATCCAATTACAGCAGAGAAGATTTGTTTTTAAATGTCTGGGAAGAGCTTTCAATCTCCCTGATTTATACCACAAAATATTTCTCACTAGTAGGTGTAAAAGTTAAATCAATCTTGTAAATGAAAAACTATATATTTGTTGATCTTCCATGAACCCCCTAGGAGTCTCTTGAGGGCCATTCAGTGCAGAAAGATGTCCTGTTCAATATCATCTGGTCTCCTGTTCTTTTTCTTTTCAGGAAGGAAAACTCATAACTCCTTGGGACTGCCCAGTACAGGATGTCAGCTGTCAATGACACCCAAACAGAATTAGCAGTGTTCCTCCTCACCGGGATACCTGGCCATGAAAATGCCCATCTCTGGATCTCCATCCTTTTCAGCTTCACGTATGCTATTTCGATAGTAGGAAATGGAGTGATTCTGTTCTTTATAAAAACAGACCCAAGTCTCCATGAGCCCATGTACATTTTCCTTTCCATGTTGGCTGTCACAGACATTGGCATATCGATAGCTACCATGCCGACGATTCTGGGCGTGTTCTTGTTTAACACTAGGGAGATCAGCTTCAATGCTTGTTTGGCCCAGCTGTTCTTCATCCACTTTCTTGCAAAAATTGAATCTTCAGTGCTGTTGTTGATGGCCTTTGACCGCTTCATAGCGATCTATAACCCACTGAGGTACGCTTCCATCTTAACCCTGCCAAGAATAGCCAAGATGGGGCTGGTGTGTGTGGTAAGGGGGGTGGCTGTACCGTTCCCAGTCCCGTTTCTTCTGAAAAAGTATCAATATTGTCGAGGCAGTGTTCTGTCCCATTGCTACTGTCTAAACCAGGATGTCATGAAGTTGGCTTGTTCAGACATAAGAGTCAGTAGCATCTACGGCTTGTTTGTTGCAATCTGCACTGTGGGGTTGGACTCACTGCTCATCTTCCTCTCCTATGTGATGATCCTCAAAACAGTGCTGAGCATCGCATCCCGCACAGAAAGTCTCAGGGCCCTGAACACCTGCGTCTCCCACCTCTGCGCCGTCCTGCTCTTCTATGTGCCAGATATTGGGCTGGCCGTGATACACAGATTCGGGAACAGCTCTACTCACTTGCTTCAGATTCTCCTGGGCTACGTCTACCTGCTGGTTCCACCCCTGATGAATCCGATTGTGTACAGCGTGAAAAGCAAACATATTCGTATGCGGCTCATCAGGGTGTTCGTCAAGTGAAGGGTCCGTTCACCACAGGGCTCCAGGGCTGGTGACACAGGAGACAACAAACACTTCCGGTGACCACTGCCACATATTCACACCTGGATTCTTTTCTCCAGCGGTTTCTTCCTTTTCTTCACGCAGGGCTGCACCCCGACTACTCTGATTTAACTGAGACTCTGCCCCCTCTGATCCAGAGCTGGGCCATGGTCAAAGCTGGCCAGGGAGCTGGGGCCATTGTGAGAAGCCCCAGATCTTTCACATTTTGCTCTCCAGATGTATATACCAGGGAGGGTGGAAAATACTGTGGACCAGCCCTGGCCTGGCTGGGTGGCAAAGCATCAGAGAAAGGGAAGGAGAGGTGGGCAAGGACTTCGTAGGAAGAGATGGGATGTAGCTGGGGCTTCAAGGGGAAAAAGAAGGTGTCCCTGGGATGGTGCCTGTCCTCAGGGACTTGGCCAGAGTGTGCCGTGCTCTAGGAAGCTGTTACCAACGGGCAGAGCTCAGACCAGCCCCTAGGCTGCTCTGAACTCCACTGGGGTAGGGTCAGAACAGGGTGTGATATTCGCCACCCTCCCCCCTCTGCATGCTTTATGCCTTAGGCTGCTCTGAACTCCGAGGTAGGTCAGAACAGGGTGTGATATTCGCCACCCTCCCCCCTCCGCATGCTTTATGAAAGGAAAATATGGACACAAATATACATAACTCAGAACTGCTTGGGCCAAATTGCTTCAAGTAACCTATCAGTCTTCATGTCTTAATCGGCTGGGCCCCTTTATCTTAAATTGGTGTATGGATCATTCTTGTGTGTAAAATTAGAGTATGGACTACGTTATGATTTCAAATGTTTAAATGGAAAGCCATCAGGGGTGTTTCCAGTGTCTGGGCAATCTTATGCAAATAGTTTTTTGTCCTTAAGTCTTAGCAGTGGTTGGGCTGAGGAAGTCACATGATCGCCCCAACTGGAAGGATGGAATGTAGAAACAGAATTCCCGCCCAAAGGGAATCTTTAACAACAATAGGAAGCTAGCAGGTTTGGTCTTTGGGGGCTGGCTGGACACACCTGTAGGGAAGGAACCCAAGACTGCAGAGTTAGGAACAGCTCTGGTTTGGAAGGCTTAGCTTGGAAAGGAACAGTTTCAGGGTGAGTTTGTACTGAGGTTTCAGTGTTGGAATTAGCTAAACGTTCTCTGTTACTTTGAGTTTGTAACCTACTTTGCTCTGCCTGTTCTGACTTACAGACACTTAAATCTTACTGCTTGTGCTTAATAAGGCCATTTAAATCTTACTGCTTGTGCTTAATAAAATCACTTTTAATTACTATTAAGTCCAGTGTAAATAATTGTTACCGGGGGAGCAATCAGAGTGCACATCCTCCTTCCATTGCTACAGGGGAGGGAGGGTTTCCTAAATAATTCATCTTGGGATTCACATCCCATCTGGGGAATGGTATTCCAGGAAGCTGGGCCCTAAACTGCATTTTCCTTGGACCTGGAGATTCAGCGTCTGCACTGCTTCTTGGGGGGATAAGGGGCAGTGATCTCAGGTTTGTACCTTGGCATGGGGAGACCAATGAGCTGGCCCAGCAGGACAGAGCAGTGAGAAGCCCCAGAGTGCAGGAAGGCAAGTGGGAGTGGCCTTCTCGGCACTCCGGGAGGCTCCCACCACGGGGTCTTCTGTGACTGTACCCTGTCTGACTGCCAATAGCACCAGGTCCACCAACGGAGGAGGTTGCCCCAGGGCCTGGTGATTCAAAGGGGCATAGGTCTCACAACCACTGTAGCTGCTCCTGTCCCTTTAAATCGCCACTGGAGTCCTGCATTGCACACACGGTGCAGCTATGAGGGCTGGGGGAGGGGCGCTGTGCTCTGTGCTGGTCTGGCTGTCCCTCGCCCTGCCTCTTCTGCCAAGGCTCAGCCCCACCTGGAAGTGCAGAGCCAGGCCAGCCCCACACCTAGCCCAGGAGCCTATAGAGGTTGTTGACCCCCCTGAACAGCACCACCTGATGGGATTTTATTTGGAATCTCACAGACTTTTCTGTCTTTCAACAATCCCCAATGTGTAGAATCCAGACACTTCTTGGGGATCTCAGGTTTCCGTTTTCCTAAGAAAGTTTAATGAAATTTAAAGCAAGCAGCATCCCTGGGTGCTTGGCTGCTGCCCTCGTTGCTCTCCTCAGACTCCACCCTTGCCAGGGGAGTCTCGTGCATGAGTTTGGGCATCCTAGGATCCTAGGTCCCCCTTTTCATTCTTCAGGGAACAGGGAAGGGAACTCCCCTCCCAGAACAATCTGAGGGAATTTTCCATGTGTGGAACCTTGTGGAATCTCCCTTCCCTGTTTGAGCTCGGGATTGTAATGTAGGAAAGGGGGCAGCTGGGGAGAAAACTCATTTATTATTATTATTATTATTATTACTTCAGCAAGATCACAGCCATGACAGCATCATGCTTACCATTCATCCAACCCAGAAGGGAGCCATGTGACTAATAAGATGCATAGAAACGGTGCTGACAACCCCAGATTCCAGTAATGGAGCCTGCAGCATCCCCACGCATCCCCTGGGATTTGGCCTCCTTCTATTTGCCATTGGCTGTGGTGGGGTTAAAGCTGGTGCACAGGAAGCCAAGCAGCTGAGGTTCCCTGACGGCCAAGTGGCCCCAAGGGAAGGTACAAACATGCTGCATAAAGGTAGCTGCCTCCCTATCTGAACACACACTGCCTGCTGCCTGTGCAACCTCTCCGATGACTCCTTGTGCTTCAGGGTGTAGATCTCTGGTGCCAGCGGCTCCCTTCTAGCAGGAACTGGGTACGTTGGCAGGTGTCACTGTCTGTAACATGCCAAGTGGAGGGCGAAGGCTGCAGGCTGTTTGCATTGGCAGCTGTTCTGTGCAGCGGCAGAGGACTCCGCTGGGCTGTCAGGGTGACTCAGTGATGGGGATGTTTTTGATAATACACAGAGATCCAACGTTCAAAACCATCCGAGAGTGTTAAACCCCCGGTGCCCCAAGTCAGGATTTCACAAGGTCTCCTACTTCTACAGGTATCGTGTGCGCTGAGCCTGATCCTACCAGAAGCTGCACAAAGGGAAACCCCACAGAATGGGAGGGGCTAGTTCCCAATTCACCTCAGATGTATTTGTTCCTGGAAATTCCACCACTAAATGCATTGTCAGTGGTTTTACTCTCTGCCTCGATTTTTAGGTCAGGAATTCAGAGTTTCAAGGTGCTGTGGTAACTGCTCTGTTTCCTGACTAGTTGAGGGCACCTGGGCTTTTTTCCTGTGGATGCCCCTCAGAGTCACAGGGCTACCAGCATCTCTGCCCCCTCTGGTCTTTGAGTGACAGAAGTCAGGCTTAGTACCCGGCCCTCTCATGGGGTGGATTCCCATGACCCCCCCACCTTCAGACTGGGTCGTGGGCTACAGTGCACTTGCACTGTGGGTCAAATGCCCTTGCTCAGAAGCTGCAAGAACATTCGTCCTCCATGGTTCTTCCCTTTGGGAGGTTGTGACTATTGAGACGAGTGACCACCCAGCCTTCCTCAGCCAAACACTGGTCAGTCTGAGCAGCAGGAGTGAAATGTAGCCCGGGAGAATCGGAGAGTTTTCAAGCCACAGTCTGACCACGTCTCTGACCCCAGGCTGCCATTGTGTCGAGGACCTTCGCAGCCGAAGGCCTCATCATGCCTAACTAACAGGTGCTGGGGTCACTATTTCCTGGAGAGTGAGAGCTCTGGGAAACAATGTTTCATATAGTGACCCCAGTGCCTGTTACTAGTCCCAATGCAAGCTACCGACTGACAGAACAGAACCTGAGGAGACCCAGTTTGCTACGATGCCAAAGATAGAAGAGACACTAAATTTTTGTTTGCAGACAAGCGGCAGAATGAAGATGGAGATGCTGAGACCTTTTCAGGTTCTGTAGAAATCCAGATGACAAGACCCACATTTCCAGTCCCACTCAGACCTGAGAAATCATCTCTGAGAGAAGATTGCATGGAATGGAGTGGATTGACATATGTGTCCTAAGGTATAGAGGTGTGAATGTTAATTTAAGCCAAATCTTTTCATTGTGTTATATGTATTACAGACCAAACTTTCAAGACATGCCTGTGTATGGAAAGCCAGCAGCAGAGTTGTGGGAATCTCTAAAGGAAGGAGCAGTGTTAACTTTACTGCTCCAAAGCATTCGGCTTTTAAAATATTTCGGAAGTTCCCCAAAAGAGTTGGCAATCAATCTGTACAATCAATTATTTCTTCTATCAACAGTGGCTTGATACTGGTTGCTGGTAATTGGCCAGAAGGCATAAGCTTTCACAAGGGAAAAAAAAATTCAGGTGCATCTGACAAAGTGGGGTTTTGCACACATAAGCTAAATCCTAAATAAATTTGTTAGTCTGTAAGGTACCACAAGTCTCCTCGGTGTTTTTGTGAATACATACAAACACAGCTCCGCCTCTGATACCTGACCAGAAGGTGTTTGTGACACTTACATTCTGGTTCATGAACACCGTCCTTCTACGCTGCCTGGGCCAGACGTCCCCAAAAGTCCTGAGAAAAGAACCACTCGGTTTTCTTTTAGCAAGGACTAGTGCTGAGTTGCAGAAAAAGGAAGTACAGTGGGTGTATGTAATTTACACTCGTAACCTGTCACACAATCGTGACTGAAGTTTTTTGCACATTCAGCTTGAAATTACTGTAAGCCTAGTGTTTTGTGGAAAAACTTGACAGTCTAGACACAGCCACTGTATGCCTGGTACAAACTAATAACTACCTTTATTGCAACAGGCAATATAAGTAAACACACTGACATGCTACAGGCAACGATTAGATAAAGAGTTTCAATAACCCCAGCTGGTATCATGAATACAGTCTAAATATACAGTTGCAATTACCTAACAGAACATCATATTCATGCCCTCCTGAAGACCTCGAGGAGTTAAAGGAGCAGCCTACTCTGTTGGTATAGCAGGGATCTCAGTGAGAGATGAGAAATTAGGATAGCATAAGAAATGGAAGACTGAGGTAATATTTTTTATAAAAGTTTAGAAAGGTAAGTAAAGAAAGGATGAGAAAGCAGATCGTGAACGTGCCTGACACTCTCAGCCGCACAGGTTTATAGGCCTACTCCCGGTCATTTCTAAGCCAACTCTCAAAGCCAAAAACAGATTTCTGCACTCTAAGGTGTTTGTGGGTGATCATGTTTGATTGAAGAATTAAATTAAAACACCTCTCTGAATATGCCTGAGCTGTCACGTTGTCTCCCCATGAGGAGGGGGTGTTTTTGACATTCAGAGAAATACCGCAAGTCACATGCTGTTCCTACCTTTCTGAGGAAAAAGGACATTTGCCCCTTCAAGAAAGGAGATATTTGGGGCGTACTGCTCTTAAACTCAGACAGGTATGACCTAACACCTGCACCTGTGAGACTGGTATTAGATGCCAGGTCTGATAATTCTATTTCAGGATATAGAAAATCGGCTTGGTGCCTTGTACATCAGCATATTGACTTTTGTGCTATTACCTATCCCAGCCCAATGAGCTAGAAAACCGACTACATATATTCTTCACCATAGATATTTATGGTTGAGCGCTATAATACCATATTTCAAGAAAGAACATCTTCTATCTACTATCCTTCTTATAATCTACTGCTGAAGTTAAGTTCTAACAGGATAAAATCTCTGTAGGCCTTGTGTGACTACTAAGCTAGAATTAAAACAGGCAAAAGTTCATAAAAAATATATTAGTTTGCAGACAAGGTTAGACTAATAGGCTACAACTGAGCACAGAAAGATGTCTTTTTAAATATCTGGTCTCCTGTTCTTTTTCTTTTCAGGAAGGAAAGCTCATAACTCCTTGGACCTGCCCAGTACAGGATGTCAACTGCCAATGACACCAAATTCCAATCTGCAGTGTTCCTTCTCACTGGGATACCTGGGCACGAAGACGCCCATCTCTGGATTTCCATCCCCTTCAGCTTAATGTATGTTATTTCGATAGTAGGAAATGCAGTCATCATATACTTTATAAAAACAGAGCCAAGCCTCCATGAGCCCATGTACATTTTCCTTTCCATGTTGGCTGTCACAGACATTGGCATATCGATAGCCACCATACCGACAATACTGGGCACATTCTTGTTTAACTATAGGGAGATCAGCCTCAACGCCTGTTTGGCCCAGGTGTTTTTCATCCACTTTCTTTCAAAAATGGAATCCTCCGTGCTCTTGTCCATGGCCTTTGACCGCTTCATCGCGATCTGTAACCCGCTGAGATACGCTTCCATCTTAACCCCAGTGAGAATAGCCAAGATGGGGCTGGTGTTTGTGGTAAGAGGGGTGGCTGTAGCATTCCCACTCCCCCTTCTTCTAAAAAGGTATCAATATTGTCGAGCCAGTGTCCTGTCCCATTGCTACTGTCTAAACCAGGATGTCATGAAGTTGGCTTGTTCAGACATAAGAGCCAGCAGCGTCTATGGCATGTTTGTGGCAATCTCTACTGTGGGGTTGGACTCGCTACTCATCTTCCTCTCCTATGTGATGATCCTCAAAACAGTGCTGGGCATCGCATCCCGCACGGAGAGCCTCCGGGCCCTGAACACCTGCGTCTCTCACCTTTGTGCCGTCCTGCTCTTCTATGTGCCAGACATCGGCCTGGCTGTGATCCACAGATATGGGAACAGCTCTACTCACTTGCTTAAGATTCTCCTGGGCTACGTCTACCTGATGGTTCCACCCCTAATGAACCCGATCGTGTACAGCGTGAAAAGCAAACATATTCGTGCTCGGATCATCAGGGCCTTCATCAAGTGAAGGGTCCGTTCATCACCCGCCTCCAGAGCTGGTGACACAGGAGACAACAAACGCTTGTGATGATACGGCCCTATAGTCCATCCCAGATGGACTCTGGTCTGGCTGAGAGCTCGGATCATCAGGGCCTTCATCAAGTGAAGGGTCCGTTCATCACCCGCCTCCAGAGCTGGTGACACAGGAGACAACAAACGCTTGTGATGATACTGCCCTATAGTCCATCCCAGATGGACTCTGGTCTGGCTGAGAGGGAGAGGATCAGGGAAAGGGGAACGGAGCAGGAACTTTTGGGAAGAGATGGGATATAACTGGGGCTACAAGAGAAAAAGAAAGTTAGGGTGTGATAATTCTGGGACAAGTCTCAGTCCTGCAAACAAAGCAGTGAGCATGCCCCTGTGGGATGAAGGAGGATGGCGCTAGAGGGGAACAGCCCCATCCTCCTTCCTGCGTTTTGGAGAAGACTGAACTAATGTGACCCCCCCAAAGGGGGCTCCTCCTTTCAGTATCTCTTACAAGGGTCTCAGAGGGAAGTTTTTTGTGCCTGTAGGGCTCCCTCAGGTCCAAGGAGAAAACCTGGGCTGGCGTCTGTCTTCAGGGACCTGGTCAGAATGTGCTGTGCTCTGGGAAGCTGTTACCAATGGGCAAAGCTCGGCCTGGAGGACACAGGAGGGAAAGACGCTGGCCATCCGGGACAGGGTAGGAAGTAGCCAAGGGTGGGGAATTGGAATCTCCGAGAGATCAGTATATTTCAGATGGATTTCTCACTGGGCTGGGAATTGGAATCCTTGGAAGCTCAGTATATTTCAGATGGATTTCTCACTGGGCTAGTGGTGGGACATGCCCGCCACTGACTGGGCTCTGGGCTGGGACCTGGTGGAGCGGGAGGGCCTGGGTCCCCCACCCCACTCCATTAGCCCCCAAAGGTGTCACTACATCTTGGCTGCTGACTCAGGCCAGTAGGCCTTACTGCCTTGCATAGCCCACTCCATTAGCCCCCAAAGGGGTCACTACGTCTGGGCTGCTGACTCAGGCCAGTAGGCCTTACTGCCCTGCAATAGGGAATGTTTGTTACTGACTTGGCCTCTAGTGCCCCTCTGACAGGGACTGCTGCTTGCACAAGGGAATGCTTGCTACTGACTTTGCCCCTAGTGCCCCTCTGACAGGGACTGCTGCAGACCTGGGAATGGGAACAATTATGGGGTAGAGCATCCCAGATTGGAAGGCACTGTGCCCTGCCTCCGGGGGGCAGGGCTGGTCTTACCACCCCATGACAGGGTCCAAATTCCAAATAAATAGCAGAGAAGCAGAGGGGAAGGGGAGGAAAGGAGAGGAGAAAAATAATTGGGAAAGAATAGTCAATTAGAGTTTCATGCTAAATGAAGCTGATAGAGAGGGTTCTAAGTGCTCTTACATATCTGGTGTTTGGCCTTTTTATGTCATTAGAATGTGGAATGTAGCGGCTAAACCATTTAAGATCTTTGTTTAAACCTCTATTGTAAGTATCAAACTTGTAAATGAAATTAAGCTCTGCAGCTTCTCTTTCAAGCTGTTTTTTTAAATTATCTTGTAATAATATGGAAACTTTGAGATCCATTCAGGAGTGTCTGGGCAGGTTAAAATATTCCCCAACAAGTTCCTGTGTAACTATGGTTGCAATCGGCCTCTGTGTCAGGTGACTAAGAAGGTGCTGATTTTTAAACAAGACTTCGGAGGTGATCCTGGCCAGAGAGACCAATACGTATAACTCCAGTACCAAGCATATGGGTTGAAACTTTAATAGAGATCTGAATTAATGGACATGCAGATGACCATACATTGTTAGGGAAGAATCAATACAGCTTTTCAAAGAGAAGTCATACCTCACCAATCCATTAGAATTCTTTGAGAGTATCAACAAGCATGTGGATAAGCATGATCCAATGCATATATCATGGACTTTCTGAATGATTTTGATTTTGACAAGGACTCGCACCAAAGGCTCAGTAACTGGTGACAAGATGGGAAACAAAGGCAGGAACAAATGGTCATTTTTCAGAATGGGGAGAGATAAGTATTCGGGTACTTCTGGGTCTGCACTGGGACCAATGTTGTTCAACAGAGTCATAAATGACCCGAATATAGGGTATATTGTGAGGTAGCAAAATTTTAGTATAACTGGTTCCAAAAAACCATCTAGATAAGTTCATGGAAAATAAGTCCATCAGTGGCTATTAGCCAAGATGGTTAAGGATACAACCCCCTATGTTGGGTGTCTCAAAATCTCTGACTTTCAGAAGATGGGAGTCGACAACAGAGGTCTTTCTGAATTGCACACATGTCTGAGGAGACTGTCTTAGAGCAGTTGTGGAGGCCGAGACATTGTAGGTGGATGGGCTGAGCTACCAGTGGAGTTTTGTGAATAAGTTTGGGGATCCCCAGATCCTGGGTCCCCCTTTTCAATCTTCAGGGAAAAGGGAAGGGACCTCCCCTTCTGGAACAATCTGAGGGATATTTCCTGTCAGGAGCCTTGAGAAATCTCCCTTCTCTGCTTGCAGCTCAGGTTTATAATACAAGAAAGAGGGCACCTGCAGAGAAATCTGGTTTCTTCTTCTCGTCATTATCATTATTTCAGTAAGATCAGATCTGTGTCAGCACCACCGTTACCACTCAGCAGCCCTGAAGAGAGCCCTGTGACTAATTAGACCCATAGGAACAGAGCTGCCAAGCCCAGATTCCAGGAACAGAGCCTGCAGCAGCATTGGTGCTGCAAGCCAGTTGTTTAGCATCACCTCCTCACATCCCCTGTGATGTGGCCTCCTGCTGTTTGCCATTGGCAGTGATGGGGGTTAAAGCTGGTGCACACAAAGCCAAGCAGCTGAGGTTCCCTGATGGCCAAGTGGCCCCAAGGGAAGGTACAAACATGCTGCATAAAGGCAGCTGCCTCCCTATCTAAACACACACTGCCTGCTCCTTGTGCAACCTCTCCGGTGACTCCTTGTGCTGTGGGGTGAAGACCTCTGTTGCCAGCGGCTCCCCTTCTAGCAGGAACTGGGTACGTGGGCAGGTTTCACTGTCTGTAACATGCCAAGTGCAGGGCGAAGGCTGCAGGCTGTTTGCATTGGCAGCTGTTCTGTGCAGCAGCAGAGGACTCAGCGGGGCTGTGGGGTGACTCAGTGACGGGGCTGGGGGGCAGGCAGCACTAGGGAGCTTGGGAGCTCTCCCCTACATCTGTCCATGCTCCGTGGTGTGTTTTTCAAACTACACAGAGCTCAGACATTCAAAAGTAGCTCAGAGTGTTAAGCCCTGGAAGCAATAAGTCAGCATTTCTGGAGGTTTCATGTGTTCTGGGCCAGATCCTGCCAGGGGCTGAACAAGGGGAGAGCCCACGGACTAGGAGGGGCTAGTTCTCAATTCACCGCAGATTTATTTGCTCCTGGAAATTCAATCACTCAAGGCATTTTCAATGGCTTTACCCTCTGGCTTGATTCTGAGGTCGGTAACTCAGAGCTGCATGGCGCTGTGGTAACTGTTCTGTTTCCCGACTAGTTGAGGGCACCCGGGCTCCTTTCCCGTGGATGCCCCTCAGAGTCACAGAGTCATCTCTGCCCCTCTCTGGTCTCTGACTGACAGATGCCAGGGCTTGTACCCAGCCCTTTCATGGGCTGGATTCCCAGGCTCCTCTCACCTTCAGACTGGGCCGTGGGCTGCAGCGCACTGAGGGTTGAATGCCCTTGCTCAGGATCTGTGAAAAGGTCCAGCCTCTGTGGTTCTTCTCTTTGGGAGGTTACAACTAGCAAGACGAGTGCCCAGCCAGCCTTCTAGAGCCAAACACTGGTCAGTCTGAGCAGCAGCAGAAAAGTGAAACATTGGAGAATCAGAGGGTTTTCAAGGAACAGTCTGTCCACGTCTCTGACCTTAGGCTCCCATTGAGTCGAGTTTCCTGGCACGCTGAGGACCTCTTCATGCCTGAATAACAGTTCCGGGGTCACTGTATGCTGGACAGTGGGAGCCCTGGGACTCAATATTTAACATGGTACCCACAGGGCCTATCACCACTCCCCATACTACAGACTGACAGACCAGAACCTGAGGAGAACCAGTCAGCTGTTAATACGAAGAAAGAAAAGTTACTTAATGTTTGTTTGTAGACATGCACCCTTAATGAGGGTGGAAATGCTGCAACCTGATGACCTTCTGTGACGAGGTAACTGGTTCTGTGGACACGGGGAAGTGAGTGGATGTGATCTACCTTGACTTTAGCAAAGCTTTTGGTACAGTCTCCCACAGTGTTCATGCCAGCAAGTTAAGAACGTATGCATTGGATAAATGGACTGTAAGGTAGACAGAAAGCTGGCTAGATTGTCATGCTCAACAGGTAGTGATGAATGTCTCAATCTTTGGTTGACAGTCGGTTTCAAACTGAGTGCCCCAAAGATCAATTCTAGGGCCGGTTTTGTTCAACCTCTTTATTAATAACCTGGATGAGGGGATGAATTGCACTTTCAGCAAGTTCACAGATAACACTAAGCTACAGGGGAGAGTTAGTTATGTAGAAGGGCAGGAATTGGGTCAAGAATGACCTAGACAAATTGGAGGATTGGGCCAAAAGAAATCTGATGAGGTTCAACAAGGACAAGTGCAGAGTCCTGCCCTTGGGACGGAAGAATCCCAAGCATTGTTACAGGCTGGGGACCAACGGGCTAAGCAGCTGTTCAACAGAATAGGACCTGGGGATAACAGTGGATGAGAAGCTGGATATGATTAACCATATAAATATCCAGTCCCTCTGTGAATCAAGCTAAGCTTTCTGGCACCTTCCTGTCTTGTCTCACTGAGTTCTGCAGCCTACTCAAGCTCTGTCTGTTTTTACCATTGTAACCTTCCCATACACATCCTTTCTGAGCCTCTACTTCTGAGTGTGTCCTCTTGTGAGGTGTGCAATCACCTGGCAAGAATACAGTCCAGAGGCATTGTATTTAGCTGTCCTCATTTGAAGGTGGTTTCTTTTTTTCCTTATTGTATGC